CCCTACACCATTTCTGACAAATGGCAGTCCAGCCTCTTCTTGAAAGCCTCCAGGGATGAAGCTCCCACAACTTCTTTCTTTCTTTCTTTCTTTCTTTCTTTCTTTCTTTCTTTCTTTCTTTCTTTCTTTCTTTCTCTCTCTCTCTCTCTCTCTCTTTCCTTCCTTCCTCCCTTCCTTCCTTCCTTCCTCCCTTCCTTCCTTCCTTCTTTCTCTTTCCTTTCCTTCCTTCCTTCCTTTCTACCTTCCTTTCTACCTACCTACCTACCTACCAACCTATCAGATTAACAAACTTGGAAGGGACCTTGTAGGTCATCTAGTCCAACCCCCAGCCCAAGCAGGAGACCCTACACCATTGTCTGACAGATGGCAGTCCAGCCTCTTCTTGAAAGCCTCCAGTGATGAAGTTCCCACAACTTACTTCTTTCTTTCTTTCTTTCTTTCTTTCTTTCTTTCTTTCTTTCTTTCTTTCTTTCTTTCTTTCTTTCTTTCCTTCCTTCCTTCCTTCCTTCCTTCCTTCCTTCCTTCCTTCCTTTCTACCTTCCTTCCTTCCTTCCTTTCTACCTACCTACCTACCTACCTATCAGATTAACAAACTTGGAAGGGACCTTGTAGGTCATCTAGTCCAACCCCCCCACCCAAGCAGGAGACCCTACACCATTGTCTGACAGAGGGCAGTCCAGTCTCTTCTTGAAAGCCTCCAGGGATGAAGCTCCCACAACTTCTGAAGGCAACTTCTGTTCAATGGGTTGATGGTTCTCCCTGTCAGAAAGTTTCTCCTTATTTCCAGGTTGAATCTCTCCTTGGTCCGTTTCCATCCATGATTCCTTGTCTGGCCTACAGATTTCCTCTGTCCAGGTTTTTGGGATGCTGGGCTAGGGGGCCATGCTTCTGGATTCCTAGGATAGTTATTGGAAAACCTCTGGCTATTCCCAGAGAGGAGATCTAACCCAGCTTCCTTATGACTCTACGGAAATAGTATGGCAACATTTCTGGAAGTGTTTTGCCCTGACCTTCTTTGTAGGGCCGAGAGAGAGTGACTGGCCCAAGGCTGTCTAGTGTAGGTGTCTCCAACCTTGGCAACTTGTGGACTTCCAATACCCAGAATTCCCCAGCCAATTGAAGACTTTCCCCAAGTCTTAAAGTCTCAAGGTTGGACACCCCTGAGTTACAGCAAACGTAGAAGGGGCTGAGGGATTCAGGAGGGTTGAAGTCCACAAGTCTTCAAGTTGCCAAGGGTTAGAGACCCTTGGCCTAGTTGACTTTCATGCCTGTGGCAGGATAAGAACTCATGGCCTCCTGGCTACTCGAGCATGGCTGTATAACACTGTGGCATTTAAATGGCAGTCCGTCTATAAATGATCTCAGGACACACAAACACCCTCAAAACTCTTCAACGCCCATCCAGATGAAAAACATTTTGCAAATAGATCCATCAAGGTGAAGACCTCCTGTTGAAGGTAGAGAAGGCAAGCGGCTTTGTTCTTAGGCATTCCCTCCATAGTTTAACTCACCTGGAGTCTCTCACCTGGCCAACCAAATGGGGGTGAGTTTCACAGCTGCTCCTTCTCAAACTGAGATTTCTCCAGAATATTGGCATTCTTCTATTTTGGACAGTTTTAACTTCTTTCCTAATGGGGGGGGGGGTGGCTCCTCCTTCAGAGAGCACAGCTAGCCAACGGGAAGGTGCAGACCAATCAGGACCAGGTTAAAAATCTCCCATTGGCTGTTTCCTCCTTGTTTTCCCAAAGCACCTGGACGCCAGACAAGAAAGAATAGATGGAAACTGAACCAGGAGAGACTCAACCTGGAAATAAGGAGAAACTTTCTGACTGGGAGGACAATCCACCCGTGGAGCAGCTTGCCATCACTTGAGGCTTTCAAGAAGAGATTGGACTTCCATTGGACAGAAATGGTGTAGGGTCTCCCGCTTGGGCGTGGGGTTGGACTAGATGATCTACAAGGCCCCTTCCACTCTGGTTATCTGTTATCTGCTTCTGGCTGCTGACAGTGGGAAGAGAGGACCTGCTGCATAACCCATATCCTACAGGATCTCACCTCTTTCTACCTGTTAAGTGCCTATCTTGAGAGCAACACAGTAGCCTTCCTTGGCAGAGGCCAACTGGTTTTCATATGGGAACATCACCCTGGTTTGTGAGCAAGCAGCAATATGAAGTTTTTTACAAGACTCAAGCATGCTTGCACCTCCAAAGTCAACATAAGTGGGCAGCTACATTTGGAGGAGATGACCGTAATAGTGGATTTGGAGAGAGAATAGTGTCCCACAGGGTATATACAAAGATGTTGAGATTCTACGAAGAGCAACCAACGGTAATTAGGTGACTAAAGGCTAAAACAGGAATTGGGTATGTCTAGTTTAATGAAAAGAAGGACCGGAGTGACATGATAACCGTGTTCCAATATTTGAGGGGCTGCCACAAAGTAGAGGGGGTCAGTTTATTCTCCAAAGCACCTGAAGCAACAGGTGGAAACCAAGTAGAGACGCAACCTGGAACTCAAGAGAAATTTTATGCCAGTGAGAACAATTGACCAGTGGAAGAGTTTCCCTCCGGAAGTTGTAGGTGCTTCATCCCTGGAGGTCTTTCAGAAGAGACTGGACAGCCACTTGTCTCAAATGATATAGGGTCTCCTGCTGGAGCAGGGGGTTGGACTAGAAGACCTCCAAGGTCCCTTCCAATCAGCGGTGGGATTCAAAAAATTTTACTACTGGTTTTGTGGGTGTGTCTTGATAGGCATGGCTTAGCTTGGTGGGTGTGGCATGGTGGGCGTGGCAGGGGAAGGTTACTGCAAAAAAACCCTTCCTTCCCCACCCCACTGACCTGCTTTCCAGGTCCATTCTCCTGTGCAGGGCAACCAAAGGAGACCCAGCCAATCAGCTGGGACTCAATGGGAGGCAGAGAAGAGGTGGACTTGGCAGGGCCAGTCAGAGGCGGGATTTGCTGGTTCTCCGAACTACTCAAAATTTCCACTACTGGTTCTCTGGAACCGGTCAGAACCGGCTGAATTCCACCTCTGCTTCCACCTCTGTTATTCCTCTTTCTGTTTTTGTTATTGTTGTATATATTTTATTTGTTGTTGTATATATTTTATCCTTTAACAACCAACATTTTTTGTGGACAGTGTAATTACTGGGTTAATATATTTTTCACACAATGCTAACGGTAATAATACAATTTACATACACAGTTTTTATCTTCCAACTTCTAACCTTGATATGCTGATTATAATTATAATATATTCTTTTATATATCAATATATATGTGTGTGGGCCTGGCAGGGGAATGATACTCTAAAATCCCCATTGCCCCCCCACCTCACCAACCTGCTTTGCAGCTCTGTTCTCCTGTGCAGGGCAACAAAAGAGGATTCAGCCGATCAGCTGAGACTTGGGAGAAGGGGGGCAGGGTGGGAGTCAGAGATGGGATTTGCCGGTTCTCCGAACTACTTAAAATTTCCGCTACCAGTTCTCCAGAACTGGTCAGAACCTGCTGAAGACCACCCTCTGAAGGTATCCACCTGACCACCTTAGTCAATGACTGGAATTCCCACTCTCCTGTTGTAGTAGCTAAGCGATTAATTCAGCCAGAGGTCTCCAAATCTGGCAATTTAAAGACTGGTGGACTTCAATTCCCAGAATTCCCCAGCCAGCCATGGGGAATTCTGGCTGTCAAGGTGAAATTCTTGGTTGACGTTCAAGGGCCTCTCAGCAAATTCAGCAGGAGAAACGGAGAAAATGAGAACTATCAATTATTATCCAGAATTTTTATAGGAAACAATTTGAAATCCAGTCACTGTGGACGTTGTACTGTGTACAAACTTGGAGAGGACTCTTGTTATGGCCAAAGACTGAATTGGCCAATGTGAGACCTGGATGACGCTTTGTTGCCTTGTATTACTCTTTCTTTTACAGCATAACTTATTTGTTATTTAAGTCTGACCCGCTGCTTATGTTGCGCTGGATTCCTGGAGCTTTGCTAGATATGTGATAGAGCTTCCTTCACAGCGATCAATGGAAGGGATTGTGTCGTCCCAATGCAACAAATACATAAAAAAGTTAGAGTATCGTAAATCCCTTGATTAAATATTGACCAAGTAGGCAGACAGGAAGCAGATTGCCACGGCGTGTGATCTGAACTGATACATTTATCCGTCCCTGGCAGTCAACAGAAACCAGGGATTTCCTGGAGATATTTGGGGTCTTCTTAGCAATCTAGCAAGGTGTTTCTCGGAGCTCCTGGTGGATTGTTGGAATCGAGAAGCAATAGGTGGCTTGAAATAACACATATGAAGAATGGTTGCAGGAATTGGTTATGTCTAATCTAATTAAAAGGAGGACTTGGGGTGGCATGATAGTGGTCTTCCAATATTTGAGGAGCTGCCCCAAAGAAGAGGGGTGGGGGTGGTCAACCTCTTCTCCAAAACCCCAGAAGGCAGGAGAAGAAGCAACAGGTGGAAACTGATCAAGGAGAGAAGCAACCTGGAATTCAGGAGAAACTTCCTAACAGTGAAGACAATCAACCAGTGGAACAGCCTGCCACCCGAAGTTGTGGGTGCTTCTTCATCACTGGAGGTTTTTTTAAGAAGAGACTGGACAGCCACTTGTCTGGAATGGTATATAGGGTCTCCTGCTTGAGCAGGGGGTTGGACTAGAAGACCTCTGAGGTCCCTTCCAGTCCTTTGGATCCATGTTCTAGTTTGGAGCAGGAGACAGGAGTCTTTTTCCCGGTTTCACGCATCCACAATTCAGGTTTCTCCACAAAAACAAAATGTGGAAGTTGAAGGGCCATAGAAAAGTTGCAAAGAGGGCTTGACCAAAGCTGGAGGAAGGACATCTCCCAGGGCATTTTTAAGAAGAGAGTGGACAGCAGTGGTGGGTTTCCAAATTTTTTTTACCGCCAGTTCTGTGGGTGTGGCTCGGTGGGTGCGCTTTGCCTGTGCATGCACGCTTTGCTTTACGCGTGCACAGAGGGTTGGCTACTAACCTTCTCCTGCAATCCTGCACTCTCCTTGTGTCTCCAACAGCCGACGCTCAGCAATCCGCTGTGCCGCGCGAAACAGCGGAGGTTGAAAAGCAGGAAATCTAGGTCAGAATAGAGCCAGGGTGGGTGGAAGGAGCCAGCAGCTGATCACTGGAGCAAACCGGTTCACTCACAGACGATTGTTGGTGCTACCCGTTCTGCCAAACCAGGCCGAACCGGTAGAATACCACCACTGCTGGACAGGCATTTGTCTGGAATGGTATGGGGTCTCCTGATTGAGTAGTGGGCTGGACTAGAAGACCTTCAATCTCCCTTCCAACTTAGTTATTCTTCGGGGGGGGGGGGGGGGTTATTATAAACCAAACCCAGAAACAAAAGTGTTGCTTAAAGTAAGTTTATTTGAGAGTCAGAACTGATCTAAATAATGAATTATCCCCACGTCTGTCCTGATGCACGTGGGTGCTGGCTTCACACTTTGGTCCCGTAGACCTCCACCTCGCACAGGGCCAGGGATACCGTGTGACCAGGGACGGTGACGATGACATAGCGCCCCACTTGACCCTTGCAGGAGATGGTGTTGATGGCGCCCAGACGGGTGTTGGCGATGGTCCCACAGCTGTTGGAAGGGGAAAAAAAAGAGGACACCCTTTCGTGGTTTGTGGTGGCTCAGAAAGAGAGAATCAAAAGGGCTGATAATGCGCCCCTGCGAATGGTAACATGTACAGTTGGAGAAGGTCTCCTGGGACACTTCAAGGCACTTTGGAGGAACTCATGGCAGCCACAGCAGGAGCGGTTAGAAGGCTACCTTCCTTGGGTACCGGCCTGTAACACCTACCCCAGGGCTTCTCAACCGTGGGCAACTTGAAGAGGTGGCTGGCTGCAGATTTCTGGCTGCAGAGTTGAAAGTCACACGTCTTTAAGTTGCTATGGTTGAGAACCACTGATCTATCCCATTGTGATTCCATGGTGCCATATTATGGTGGTTTTATTATGGTTTTATCTTAATTTAATGTTTTATCTCCTATATTGCATTGCCCTCATTCCCTATCTATTTTTCTATTTTTCTATTTTTCTATATCTATCTATCTATCTATCTATCTATCTATCTATCTATCTATCTATCTATCATCTATCTACCTATTTATCTATCATCTATCTATCTCTATCAATCTATTAATCATCCATTTATCATTCTATCTGTCTATCTATCTATCTATCTATCTATCTATCTATCTATCTATCTATCATCTATCTATCTATCATCTATCTATCTATCTATCTATCTATCTATCTATCTATCTATCTATC